GGAGCTTTTAATCACTCAGTAGCACCAGGTAAATACTGATGCGTTTTGTCAAAACTGTGTTTACCAACAGGGATTAATTATCTATCAACTTCCTACAGGCTATCTCTTAATTGCTGTAGAATTTCAGATTAGCCAAAATAGTCAGTCACAAGTGGACAGACTTCAGGAATGATTTAGAATACCTAAAGTCTTTCAAAAGATTTCCCATGCTGATTTGATTTAAGCTATTAAAAATTAACATTTTAGCTCTAAAATTATTATCTGAGGCCAACTCCAGTTTACATAATATTCAGTCAAGCAACCTAATATTTTACAAAATTGCTTCCTTATAAAAATTATGTTTTTACATAATGTTTGAATTTCTCGTATGCCTTAAAATCATATTGAAATGGAATTGGTTTTCTTTTTGTTACTAATTTTTTTAGTTTAGCATTTAAATGAGTGGGCCTCATGGTGTCTTTTTCATACTGTTTTTCTTCTCTTAAACATTGCTTTCCTTACTCAGCTCATCACTCTTTTCTCTATAGTCATTTTTTACTGACTCTTCTTTAGCCGCATTTTGTACTGTAAGAATAACTGAGCTATATTCCATATCATTTCAGTACACTATGCCCTTTTCCCCAGACATTTCCTGTCTTAATCCAGTTGTCATGCTTAGCCTCTGTAGCATTGCTTGAAAAATTTAATCTTTGCACAAGGCTCTCCTAGAGTGTATGATTTAATATTCAACAAATCTTAGTATACTGCTCTGTATATTCTATTTTTTTAGACTTTTCAATAATTTGTCCTTATTCTTCTCAGTCTTGATTTCTGTGGCTTATCTGCATATCACCCCGATTCTAGTGAGATTAAAGTCTTTGCTGTCCTGTAAACACCCTGTTCCTTCTTACATATTGGTCCTTCTTAACAGAAGACTTTCCCTCTCTCTCATTTGTATTGAGGCCCAACGAGTAGTCTACATGGGCTTTAGGAACTTGTGGTGATCTTTTGGAAGTGATTTATACTGTTTAATGCATTCTTAATATAAGATTAAAATTGCAAAAAACATGGAGCACAGCTCTACACTATTTTGGTACTTCTCAGTAGAAATTAGTAAACTTCCTTTACATTTGTGTTTTATTTCCATAGTCATGCACTTCATAATGTATTGTTGCAGAAGAGGATTCCACATTGTTTAGGATTTTAATTTTTCAGAACTATGAAATTTACACATTGTTTGAATTTTGGCACAAGCATAAAGAAAAAATGTGATTATAAAAATATGTATATATTTTCTATCATAAAGCGTCTGCTCTAGTTTAGTGTAGTTACATTAACTGGGAGTCTGGTGGAATTTAACAGATAATAAACCTGAGAAATCTATGTTTTTCTTATGTCTTAATCTTTTTGTAAGTTATGTAACCTAAAAGGAAATCCTTGCAATAGTAAGAAAAGATAATTTTATTATATACTCTACCGACCCCCACTTCAGAGCCATGAGATGTGTCCTGCCCAGCTTCTAGCATACCTGCTGGGTGTGGTCAGAGTATATCATTAAAATTGAATCCACTGACCTTTATGCTTTGGCTCTGTTGATTGCCAAAAGAAATGTTTTGTTTTCTACATGGAGATTACCTGTCCAAACACAAATTGGTTTAACACTTTGAGATGGTTTTCTGAATAATTATGAACTAAAATGTTTATATAACACCTAAATATGCTATTAATATTCATAGCTTTATTGAAGTATCATTTGATTTGCACGTTTCTTCTCCCACCTGTGGCTTTAGAATGTGAAGTCTACCCCCATGTACCTCTGAGATCCCTTGTCTGTCTATTAGGATGACTCAATTCTAGCTTAGTCAGGAACAGTATCACTGCTAGCAAATAATGGATTTTTAAGAATAAATAAAATTTTGCTCATTATAAATATTTAAAATACTGAAAACAGTAGAGAAGGAAAAGAGGCTGGAGTCTGCCCAGGACCTCATACAGACATCATCACCCTTGCACATCAGAAGCAGCCCTGGACCACCGTGCTGTTTACAGGTCCTTCTTATTTCGGGGTGCTGCTCTAAGATTATACCCTTGCACATTATTGCCCCAGAAGAACTGTAGGCTGTTGACAGTTTGTCCCCCCATAATACGAGTCCAGTGCTGTGTCAGCCCTGCCCTGAGCACCTAACCAGTGGTGGCAAAATAGAAATACAAAGTAAATCAAAGTCTTGAACATAGATGCTGTGGGATTTGGAGATGCCTTCAAAACAGAGAGGAGCGAGGCTTGGAAAAGTAGGGATTGATCGAGACAGAAATGGAATGAAATGCAATCAAAAGAAGAATGTTAGTGTTGAAGGCCCACACAAATGTCAAGGAGTTTTAAGAGTTCCTTGTCTTCCAGGTTTTGTTTTTACTACACGCACACGTGCGTGTGTTTGTGCGTGTGTGCATGTTCATTTTGCAGCACATTATGACATTGCTTGAGTAGAGGTGAGGGAACAACTTTTGGAGTCAGTTGTTACACCACTCAGGATTCTAACTGCAGGTTAGCCAGTCTGGGAACTGTGAGCTTGGGCTGTTACCTGGTCTCTGCCTCCCTTCTTGCCATTGGAGCACTTGGGTTACAGCAGGGAGCTGCTCCTCCTGCTTTGTCCATGGCTTCCAGGGGCCCATATTCAGGTTGTCAGGCTTGCACAGCAGGTGCTTTGACTCACTGAACCCAGGTTTCACTATGTAGCACTGGCTGAGAACTTGCTCTATCGACTGGCCAGCCATTACAGCCATTACCTTACTGTGGTCCTTTTTCCTGTGGTAGCCAAGGACTGGAATTATAGACATGAACCATCACACCTGGCCTTGACATCCTGTTGATTTGAAAGCAGATACCACTAAGATTTGGCTGTGCATGGTGGTGGGTGCCTATAGTCCTACCTGTCCTAGATGCTGAGGAAGGAAGATGAGTGAGGTTAGCCTCCATACCATACCAAGAACCTGTCTCCACCCTCTTGGATGCTGGGATTCTAGGCATGTACCACAATTTCCCTCTTTTCTTTTTGTATTTTCATCTAATCTTTTTTTTTTTTTTTTCACTCCTTCTGTGGAGGCCATGTCTCCTGGTTTTCTCTGAAAGGGTACCAACCTATTTTCAGGGCTTTTTTTTGGGGGGGGGCACCTTAATATTAAAGCACTATCTTTGAGAATGGGGGAGGTCATCTTCCTGTATTGAAATACTATCCTTTTCTCATGGCAGGTGTTTTGTCCTTTACATTTTTTATTCCTTTCTTTTAAAAGAGAAATCTGCTGGGTGTGGTGGCTCATGCTTTAAATCCCATCCCATCACTGAGCACTGGGGATTTGGGACTGGCAGAAGCTGCCAATTTTGAGTTCAAAACCAGTGTGGTTTAAAAAAGTAGGTTCTAGTCTAGTAATGCCATTTTTAAAACAACAGCAAAATAAAATAAATAAAAAAAACAACCACACACACACACACACACACACACACACACACACACACACACACACTGAAATCTGCCAGCTCTGTTTTCTGTCAATAGGTTCAGTAGGTTCCTTCTGCCATTTGTTTATATTGGGCTTAGTGTCCTTCCTGGACCTACAGCTCTGGTCAAGATAATCTGCATAAATTCTAGGACCCTTCCTAGCATCACAAGGCTTTTGCTATTGTTAAATATTAGGGCTAGAATTTATGAAAATTAAAATTAGGAATGCTTTCTACCATTAAGACTCTGCCTTATCTTTATTCTTTTTCCAAAGGGACTGCAGGTAGCATATAATGTGCTCTTGTTAGCACTCTTTAGCTTTTATCCTAATTGTTTTCCAAAAGTTTTCATTCCACAGGAATGTACAAAGACAGTAGTGGTAGGTGGGGTGTCTCTGTGGGGGGTGGGAGGTGGGCGGGGGACAATTCACCAATGCCAAGATCTGTTGTGGAATATTATTGTGACTAAGCAAAGATGCGTTACTATTTGTTTTATGCTGTAAAATATAACTTTGTGAAGGTATGTTACATTTGTTTCTGCTGCCTTTGTTAACAAGGTGAAGATGTGTTACATTTGTGTATGCTACATTTGTCTAATTATGTAACAATGTGTGGTTGTTTTTTGCCTTGCCTGCCTAAGGCACCTGATTGGTCAAATACATAAACTGAACAACCAATAGCTAGGCAAGAGAGGGATAGGCGGGGCTGGTGGAGAAAGAATAGATAGGAATCTAGGAAGAACACGTGAGAAGGAGAGAAGGAGGGAGGAAGGGTCAGAAGCCAGGCAGCTTCCAGTCAGACACAAGAAGCAGTGAGTAAGATATACATATAGAAGAAAAGAAAGTTAAAAAGCCCCAAGGCAAAACATAGATGAAGAGAAACTGGTTAAGTTATAACAGCTAGCCAGAAACGAACCTAAGCTAAGGCCAGGCATTCATAGCTAATAGTAAGTCATGATTTGGGAGGGGGTAGGTGGACCAAAAGAAAGCCGGGTACAAAGATCTGTCTGGATGGGAGTTTGGGGTTGGCAGTGGCTTGCTTTTTTATAAAGTGTTCAGCACAATGCTTGAAGCAGGTACCCGGGGGTAAAGGGTGTCTGCGGCTCATTCTTTTCTTAGTTAGTGGCCTTGGCTTTATGAGGCTTCAGATAAGTATGGTAGGGAAAAAGCCCACACAAGTCTTTTCCCTCCTTCAAACTAATGTTTATTCTGTGGTTTGTGAACTTCTTTAGATTCAGGGTTGCCAGTTGATTTTAGTCTTTCATGGAGCATTTTCCCGAATGTTTTTCTGAATCCTCAGAAAGTGACAGTGCTTGTACTATGAACTCTCAAGGCACAGATTTTAGACTATAAAGATATGTGTCTTGGTTTATACTTTTATCTTCTAATAGCTAGAGAACATTTGATGCTTTTAAGTCTGGCAATAAACTACGTTAGAGTTGTTGTTGTGCTACCTTTATGACAGGCTCTCTGCTAAGAAGGGTGGGAGTTTGGTGCCATCTGAATTGACCTCATACAGAATGTCTGTTTCAGATAACAGCAGCAGCCGCTATGTTTCACTTCTTCCGAAAGCCTCCAGAATCCAAAAAGCCCGCTGTACCAGAGCCAGAAGCAGATGGATTTGTCCTCTTAGGTGAGTCTTTTTAAGAAACAAGATCCTAATTAGATGAATTGTTTTAAAAGTTAGTTTGGTGATTATATGGTTGATTTCTACTGTGTTTTCTAATTTCAGAGTAAGTTGTGTGTGTCATTTAGAAAGCATTGTGGATAAGACTCCTTCTCTGACCCTTCCCTTTGACTTTCAGGAATCAGTGCTTGGCCAGACAGAAAGGCTCTGTTAGCCCCAGTGATAGTGTCTGGGAAGCTGCAGACTCTCATGGCTCCCTCCTCCACCTCCAGAGTTTGTATACAGACTTGAGAAGACTCTCAGGCCTTCTGGAAACGGTTATCTTCTGGAGTTTAGCAATAATGGTCTCTCAGGAATTTATTCCAGCTAAGTCTGATTTTCCAACCCATTCCCTATTTTTTTTAAAAACATCTTTATAAACTTAAGACATATATATAGAGAACTTCGCTCAGTTTTTGTTTACACACAATTAGAAATGGCACCATTTCTCTTTGTCACTGTATACTCACTTCAAGAACCCGACAGTGACACACTTGTGTGTGTGAAGTCATACAGTTTCTAGAGTTTTGTTTTATGTATCTTTTTACCTTCTACCTCTTCAGTTAGCCAGCCTGGAATATGAGAGACAAGGCCTATCCATGGGAAGTGACTTGCTTTAGTTTGATCTCTGTAACCTTGACCAAATGTTGTGTCGTTCATCTTACAACTGCTCTAGTAGGGGTCTATTTTGCAAGTCTCCTGCCTCAGCAGGTACGGTTCATCTGCTATGGGCTGCCTGTCCTATCCCAGGAAGACTGGAGTGAGAAGCATCTTTGATTGAGCCTCGGAAGTCTCACAGGCTTCCAGATTTGCTATTTCATGAGGGAATTTCCAAGATTTAATTACTCTAATATACTCAGTAGCAGCTGCTCTGTCTGCTGTACCCACACTCCAATGGTACATTTTCTCAAAGGCTGACATGCTGAGCTTTAAGCCAGCTTTCCCAGGACCATCTTGAACTGAGCATGATTTATATTCCCAGGACTATATGTCTCTGGTTGAGACTTATGAAGAGGAATCACTTTGAATGTAGTCCTAGAAGAACATAAAATATGTAGTGTACTTGGTAGTACAACTTGTTCAAATGCCCCATAAAGACCAGAGTTCCCAGTGCCAGCCAAGGCCTCCTGTCTCTCAGGAACCGGCAGCTGAGACTCGTGTCTGGGTAACCCTGTTTGGTTTTAGATGCAAAGATTCCAGCTTCACTAATTTCCTTGTAAAAAAAAAAAAAAAAAGGTATACCAGGCTTAGCTGGCTGTCCTGAAGTGTCATGCTATCGTTAGTCACTGTCATCTCTGTCCTTTTACTTCCGGCTTCCTTCCTCTTTTCATCTGTCACACCATCTCCTTTGTCCCTCAGGAGGACTGCACAGGGTGACATTTAAGCACAAATATGAATGCTGACTCTACAGCCAGAGCCTTTGGCATGGGAGCCCAGCTTCACAACTTATTAGGGTTTCTAGCTTTAGGAAGCTGTTTAACAATCTTGCGTGTCACCGAGCATGTTATCTACGTACCCGTACCCTATGTGGTCAGTGTGGAATTAAATGAGTTAATGTGCATACACTACTTGGAATAACCTGCAAGGGAGGTGGTTCTGTCACGGTACACGGAGGACTTAATTTCCCAGCTTCTTCTTACATAAAGAAAATTGAAATTAGCCTGGGTCATCTGATCCCAGCGCCGTCTTTTTACTCTCTGTGCTGGTGCAGTCTTAAAATGCTGCACTGTCAGCATTGAAATTTGTAATTAAACTTGTTTAGGTGATCTAAAGCAAGAGGCATATGAAGTTGTGATGCGCTGTTAACAAACAATACGGGGACTGTAGACAATGATACTGTTCTGAACGTATCAAAGAGGTGGACGAGAGGGGTTAGTGTTTTCACCAAGTCCTCAGTTTTAACCTGCCATCGGTGATAGTTTAAGCTTAAAAATGTTAATGTAAAATATCACCATCACAAACCTGTCAGCATTCAAGGCCTGAACTGACTTTCCTGATGACAGCCCTGACAGTTACTAGGAATGTTGTATTGTCTTTAAAAAATATGACAAACTTTAAATTTTATTTATTCTGGGAGGCTGCCCCTTTTGCCATGCCGTTCAATAGCAGTGTCTGTGTGGCATCTACTTTAGTCTCAGGGCATACCATATGAAGGTACTTTGAAAGGATAAGAGGTACTCGTGAGATACTTTTAGTGATTTTATTGTTAACATGGAGCCATACTCTGTATTCTGGAATATGTACTAGTTACTTTTCAATGGCTATGATAAAAATACCACAGCCAAATCAACTTATAGGAGAAAGAATTTATTTCAGCTTAGGGTTCCAGAGGACTAGATGTCCATAGTAGCATGGAAGGCATGGCGGCCAGAGGTTAGGGACGTAGAGGCATCACATCTCACCTTTTCAGTCTGACCCAGGAAGCAAGGGGAGAGAACTGTAAATCAGACAAGGCTGTCAACACACAACCCCCAGCTCTTCCTCCAGCTAGCCTCCAGGTCCTAAACTTCCATAACTTCCCGGAACAGTACCACCTACTGGCGATCAAGTGTTCAAACTCAGGGGTACGTTTTGATTAAAATATGTGATCTTAATCCTAGCACCCTGAAAGGCAGGATCTCTGTGAGTTCAAGGCCAGCCTGGTCTATAAGTCGAGTTCCATGGCAGCCAGGGCTAAACAGAGAAACCCTGTCTCTGAAACAAACAAATAAAAAATCCAAACCACTCAGTATATGTTCATGTAAGATTTTAAAACTATTGTATGAAATAGGTACATTACAGAAAAAAAAAAAAAAAAACATTAGTTTTGTTTTCTTTCTTCTGAATGATAAAAGTATATGATGTAGAAACAGTTTCCTGGCTGTCTGAATTGGTTAGATATCTCCTTACTGACCCTTAAAACCTGTTTCTAAGAAGGTCACAGTAAATTGCACTCTTAAGGCTAGCAATGACATCCCTTCTCTTTTTCCACTGGGGAAAAAACCCTTTTCTGAAGGCCTGTATTTCTTGCTTAACATTGACTTGACATTTGGGCTCCAGCGCGAACCAAGGCACTTTTGTTGATAAGGGGACTATCTAGAGTTGGCTTATGTTGATGGAAAGCCTCTTTCCTTCCTAAACTTTCTACAGCTTTTGGCCTTTGTAAATTGAAGCGTATGCAGAATAAGAATAAAGGGAGAGGTGGGGCTAGTAGAAAAACATCCTTTCCCTTGTGTAACCAGTGTGTATTCACATAAGAAGGCAAGAGTTCATTCAGTAATGAAGTTGAAGTAATCCTCCAGGGTACTCATTTTACACAAAAACAAATTGCAGTTTTCATTTGCATCACTGGGTGGCGATTTTTCACAGCCTTGTGCTACTGTTTAAAAAGCCAGCAAGCATGGCACTGTTTGTAATTACCAGGGCCTTCTTCTGTTATGACACATTTAATTGTGCTTTTAGCACATTATCTTTAAGTTGATTACAAATCTACTAGTGCAATGCACAACCTTGAAGTTATTTTCAATTAGGAAATGGTGTTGCCTACATGTTGGCATATAATAAGGCATGCATTAGCTTATTACGTTATAGCAAAAATAGGGAAAACAGTAGCAACAAAAATCATAGAATATAAAATGAAAGAAAGTAGTGTAGATTATTGCTGTTGCCTCCACTAATATTGTTGACCAAATATTGCATATAATTTTGGAGCTGGCAGAATGAAATTGGGCAAGCGGACTATTAGACAAAAAGAATTGGGTTACGGTACAACTGAAATCAATCACATTTTTCAGTATATGTAGGCACGTCTTAAACTAGGGCGTGAGAACTCTTAGTTTCCATCAACTCCTTGTTTTGTAAAACTGAATTTTAAAACTATTTTAGTAATTCATAGTAGCTTGGGTTTCATTTTTAAGTATTGGCATTGAGATACATATCTTATTCTCCCGCCTTTACATAGCTTAAGTATTAAATCAGATTTCAGGAAGTAATTGGTTGTCTAAGGGTCTTTCCTATTACATTCTTCATTCTGGGAATCAAAGCATGTACATATTCTTCAGTAAGACCACTGTATTTTTACTTGGGATTCTTAAAAGACAGTCTCTCATCCCCCGCCAGCCCCCATCACTGGGTTCTGATGAAATGGGCCTGTGTTTGGCTGAGATAGTAGGGCTAGAAATCCCCTGCAGATGTTCCCAGAGGATATGTAGGGCTAAGGAATACTGTAGTTCACTCTCTGATTTAGTAACTGTATACCATTAAATAACATGTCATGATGCTTTGAGAAAGACCCCATTAAACAGGAAGTTGCAGTTTGTCTTCCACTTCCCTTGGACCATGTCAAATGACAAACAGCAAGTGAGAGCACAAGACTTTTGGAAAACCAAGCTTTTAATAATGAGCAGAAAGCGTCATTATTGGAATAAGTGAAGTCTGTCTATACATGTGATAAATTTGGGAACTTTTTTTAAGCAAGTGGAACATTTAGGAAGCATTTTGTTGTTTGATTACATAAGTGCACATTCCCAGTGCTCTGTAACTGTTTTGTCTAGTTTCAATGTATCTCTATTGTCTTTAGGTTAGAGTGTTTCACAGATATTTAAGAATAAGAGCCAAGATATTTTTAAACTTATATTTGTTGTCTAAAACCACCGTGCAGTCATATTTCTAGTATAGCTATAGGGATGGCCAAGTTGGCTGAATTATTGTGATAGTATGCTCTCAAGGATGCTTGTTGAGAGTATGATCTGTAGGGGAAATGTTAATGTGCACATCATTAGGAATCTCCTCTAAAGGTTTCTTACAGGTTTTCTTAACAGCAGTTTCTGCACCTGAGACTAACTGAAAAATTGTGATAAGTAGTTTCCATGCTTTCACTTAAAATTCACCCTGATCTTACCTGTTGAAGAGATAAAGAACAGACCTTGTGAAATGTCCAATCACGAGTATTGTATTAAAGTAGCTCAGGTGGGATTGGAAGACATAAA